ATGTGGAGTTGAGGGAATTGCCAAAAGGGACATAATGCTTTCTCATGAGACACACAATCTTCAGGAGAGCAGACACGGTGCTGACTACAACAAAAGCTTTTCAGTGCATGGTTTTAGAGGTGACGATTGGGCAGACTTACATCCTCTGAATTCTGAGAGGTTATAACAGAGAAAATCAAGAAGTGGCTCATCAGAAGACATAACCAAGTACTTTTCCCCCTCAGATGTTAATGATTAAAGGTATGTGACATGACTGATATCTTAAAGAAAGAGGGTTGCGGAAGACTTTGGATTAAAGTGTTGAAAATAGATAGTAAAACCCAAAGCATTTTTCAGTTTTGGCCATTATTTTAGTCAGTTATTTTCTCCTTCTCTGAAGGGTATAACAACTTACTCAATTTGCCAGTATTCCTGTTACAAAATTGCTGTAGGTTGTTCTAAATTAATTATTTCACGGAAATAGGTATATCTCTTATTGCTTGGGAATGGAAATACCTAGGTTTTTCTGTACATGTTAATCCCATCAAATGATAAAATAGTTTCTCATCAGTTATGTTAAGGCATCGTCTTACTGTTATTAGGTCCTCGATGAAGTGAACATGGGGAAATTGTGGAAAGCAATGGGTAATCACCTTTATAAATGCTAATGACCAATTTCCATAAATTGTATCTACTGGTAAAATGATTCAGAAATGCTGACTTCATAATAATGAAGATTCATATTTATTGAGTGTGCCTTGTATGCCAGGCATTGTACACAGTGCTTCAGGTACAATATCCAATAATGTATAAAGTGTTTTCTTTTGTCTGATAGGAAATAAAGAAACATTTCCTTATGAAAACAAAGATTAATAAGGGACTGAGTCACTGACTCAAAAGGAATCACTTGGGCTGGATTATTTCCAAAGCTGACTATATACAGTGTGCTTGTCTTGGATCTTGGGGCTAAGTAAGGTGGCACACGAAGCCAAGCTATTGAGCTATTAAAATTATCTTATCTCCTTCCTCTGTTTCTTTCATACATCCAAGTGTCACTGAAAGTCCATCCCATTATTTAAAACTTCGGAAGCTTTCCAATGTTCAATGTCCACTTAATCTTTTATTACATTGAGTAGGAATTTATAAATATAATTTATAATGAGGCATGAAACTCCTGTATCTTCAGATTATATCACAGTGCCTTTCTGCTTGATTACTGACTCTTAATATAGGTTATTTTTAGAAACTGATAATAATAGAGAATATCGTATGCAGTGTCCTATGAGTTAATTAACATGAAGCTTTAAAGGGCAAGAGGTTTTAATGCTGGGAAATTGCATTTTAATGATTGTCCCTTACTTTTTATTCATGGATCGCTTCTACAACGTTTGCATTTTTAATTCAAAATAATTCAGCAAGAAAGATAGAAAGGGCCTCATCACCCTTCCATTCCACAGAAATGATGGTTCAGAAACTTTAAGTCAAGAAAATGTACCAGATGAGAGACAGAAGCAATGTCCACGTCAAATTATTCTACTGCCTGAGATGCTTCTTTCTGCAGACACCTGACACCTGCCTTGAGCATCTCATTCTCTTTCCACAGGCAATAACTAAAATAAAATATTCTTGGTATATATAAAATATTGATCTCTACTACATAGATCTTGGGGTTCCCAGACTGAGGTCCACAGAAAGTTAGTTGCAAAAACAATAGAAAGTGTAAAAAATCAGAGTTTTCCTGGTTCAGTATTATTTCAAGTAATTAGGAGAGAAGTAATTGGGAGAGAGAAGAGAATTTGACTACACTTGTTTGTATTCTCACTTCCAGTGAGTCCTATACATTTATTTTTGTATGATTTAGTATTTGTTTCTAAACAGAGTACTGTACTTTGCCTGTTTAAAGATTTAGAAGCATTCACAGACCTTCCCTACTTCTGATATCTTTTTTTTCAAAAAATTGTCTCTGAACTTTGTGAGGTTTTAAAATGCACTTATCATGGGATGACTTTTTTTATTCACGTTGAGTCTAAAAATATCAGGTGATGAACAGCATGCATCATCCCGTGTGCAGTCGGCGCTCACTGTGTGCCATCTACCAAAAGGTTTCTTCCCTTGCCCAACATTCCCTGACTTCCGTTCCCAACACAGGCATTTGCATTTACCATCCACAGTCTAAATGGGACATGGGTATTCTTGAAAAAAAGTCATTGTGATGTCCCTACTTAAGAAAGAGTCAGACATTCCCCTTTTATGGGTGGGTTCCCCCTTGGTCCGTCCATCAGTAGAAGGAAGGAAACTGGAGTTCTTCCCAAATACAGAAGGATGTAACCGGTATGATACACATTTGTGTATTTAACTGAAAAATGGGATGACAACTTCTCCACATCCAGAGTTTTCTGTGCAAGTGCATAGTCTATTATTAAGGAGACAAGATATTTAAAAGAATCTTTTGGGTTAAAGAAAATAAAAACACAAGTAAACCTTATTCTGTTTTCCTTGCCTTGGCCTTAACTGAATTGTTTTGCTATTTGGGAAATATAAATAGTAAAATTACTTACAAAGGAACTTAAATATCTATAAATTCTTTACTATATGTGTAAATGCACTCTAATATACTACTTTGTATGTGAGCACATTTTTCTGATAGTTATATGCGTAGGGGCTTCCTATAATCATGCAGAGTTGCTATTTTATATTTAACAGAGTTTTGAATCTGTGCACTTGTTTCCATCCTTAACTTCTGGGAAATTTTGCATAACTCAGTGGACACCTAAATTAGAAGATTAAAATGATCCATAATACACAACTATTTTTTCCCAAGACACACCACTCAGGTGGCATATTTTTATCTGTCTCTATTTTTTCATCTATGTATTTATGTATGTATGTATGTGGTTTTTGCTTTTCTTCTCTCCACTGTAGCAGAAGAATGGAAAAATGTGAAATAGAGATGAAGACAATGAATAGGAGGAATGGTTAGAGACTGTGATGTAGGGAGTAGATATGAAGGTAAATCTATTGTGACAGCCCATATGTATACAGGCACTGCTATAGCTAATACTTTATAGAGTACGTGATCACTTTTATGGGACTTAACTCACTTAATCCTCACAGCAACCTCATTAGGAAAGCACTACTATCATCTTTTTTTATAAATGGGAAAATTGAAGAACAGATAGTTTAAGTAAATGTTAACTTTCACTGAGCATTTACATGTCTGCCCTAGGATTTGAATCCAGGTAGAATATCTCCAGAACACTCTTAATTATTATGCTATGCAGTAAGGATTTGAATGTGTGCGGTTCTGTCTGTGGATGTACAGATTTATGTGTATATGAAAAATGTACATTTTTGTGCATATGTTTTTATGAATGCACCTAATATGTTTATCTGTTCATATTTATTTGGAACCCCCAAAATAACTCTTTTGTTTAATATATATGGGCATCAAATGTCAGCGCTGAATAAACAAAGGTGTGTTGTAAACAAATGTGGTATAAACAAGATCTCAGGTTATGCTAATGAACAGTAGAGTCCAGACCAATGAAAGAGAAACCTCTTTATTCTTCTGCCCTTTTCATGACAAATGTTGTTTAGAATTTTGCTTGATGACACTCCAAAAGGACAATCCAAACTGGAGGGCATCTACAAAAAGAACAAGGAATATTTTGTCAGAAATTGATATTTATTGGATTGGGCAGAACATATAAGCAGCCGGAGTAAAGTTTAGCATTTAAACTTCTTTTCGATACATGAGAAGTTATTTGCTGTTGAGGGTGGTGGATATAACGGTAAGCAAAAGTAAATAAATAAAATTCTGCATCTGTGTCTGTGTCTGAGGCTATGCTCAGGAGGAAATTAGTAATCAGTTGTCCTTGGAGTGGTACAAATGCTCCCAGAGCAGGTATAGATTGATAGGAACTCACGGTGGAGGGTGCACGTAACTGACTACCATGGGGGTGAGGGAAACGGAGTCAGGAAGAAGTTTGTAGAGAGGAGATGAAGCTCTGCTGGGCCTTGAACACAGACAGGCAGTTCAGTAGGTGGACAATCAAGGAAGCAAATGTCAAGCCCCCATGAGAAAATGAGCACAAAGAAAAGGAAATATATGAAAGCAAGCCACGTAGTAAAAGATGCAGGTGGTTTGATGTGACTAGAACATGAAGTCCATTTGGGTAAGGGGTGAGATTAAAGTTTCTATCAATAGTCAGTGACCTGATCCATAGATTTTCATGAATTGCATTAAGATATTTGAATTTTAATTTGAAGCAACGGTAATTTTCATTTAGCAAAGACCACTCTGATGGAGAGAGGGTGGAAGGTGAGAAGTATTAAAGGTAAAGAAAATTGTTGCAATGATGAAATTATGTCAGCAGTACAACATAGATATGGTATGAATGGCTGTGATACAGTCTTCACAGGGCTGCTGCTTCTTGCCACTCACATCTCAGCTCTTCCTTCTCATTGTCAAGAGCCTTCTTTGAACACCTAATCTAAATTGGTCAGTCACCAGGGTATATCTTAGTTTTAATTCCTGCTTTCCTTCACTACGTAAGTTTCATTTGGGAAGAATATTTTTTCATTGTTGAATCCCAGGACCTACCACAGTAACTGCAAAATTCTGTGTTCTCAATAAATACCTGCTAAATGAATGAGTGAAGAAAGCAAGTCAGTGCCAACAAAAATGGAAAGGAATTGATAAATATGAGATGATCTTTATTTGGAAGCATTTGACAACTGATTAAAGGAAAGGATGAAGAGTTTATTGAGCTGCAATTATTTTTTTCCATTTTATGATTAATGACTATGTATGTTTTGGACAAATCAACTGGGATAGTGACTATAGAATAGGAATTAGTTTGAGAAGGAATGAGGATGAGTGTAATTTCTGAGCTTTTTGAGCTTTAGAATCACAGGTAAAAAGTTATCTTTCTGACTTACTAGAGCTTGTTACAAGTAATATAAAGATTTCTACTTATATCTGAAAGAATATGATGACTTGCCTTTCTCTTTTTCAGGTCATGAACCTCAGTTGCTCCTTGTGGCAGGACAATAGTATGTCTGTCAAACAATTTGCATTTACCAAATTCTGTTACATCACTGAACAGTGTTTCTTTTCATTTACCCTCATCTTGTTCATGTTCTTAGCATCACTCACAGGCAATGCTCTCATAGCCCTTGCCATCTGGACCAACCCAGTCCTCCACACACCCATGTACTTCTTCCTGGCCAACTTGTCTCTCTTGAAGATTGGCTACACTTGCTCCGTCATACCCAAAATGCTGCAGAGCCTCGTGAGTGAGGCCCGAGGAATCTCTCGGGAGGCGTGTGCTACACAGATGTTTTTCTTTTCATTTCTTGGTATCAGTGAGTGCTGTCTTTTGGCAGCCATGGCTTACGACCGCTATATAGCCATATGCTCCCCACTTCACTATGCAGCACGAATGAGTCGTGGAGTGTGTGCCCAGTTGGCAATGATTTCTTGGGGAGTGGGGTGCATGGTAAGCTTGGGCCAGACCAACTACATTTTCTCCTTGGACTTCTGTGGCCCTTGTGAAATAGACCACTTCTTCTGTGACCTCCCCCCTATCCTGGCACTTGCTTGTGGGGATACATCCCATAACGAGGCTGCAGTCTTTGTGGTGGCCATCCTTTGCATTTCCAGCCCATTTTTACTGATCATTGCTTCCTATGGCAGAGTTCTAGCAGCTGTGCTGATCATGCCGTCACCTGAGGGCCGCCAGAAAGCCCTTTCCACCTGTTCTTCCCACCTACTTGTAGTAACACTCTTCTATGGCTCAGGATCTGTCACCTACTTGAGGCCCAAGGCTAGCCATTCACCAGGAGTAGATAAACTCCTAGCCCTCTTCTATACAGTGGTCACATCCATGCTCAACCTCATCATCTATAGTTTGCGGAACAAGGAAGTCAAGGCAGCTCTCCGGAGAACCCTGTGGGAGAAAAAAGTTTTGAGTCATGGGTAGATACTAGAGGACCACGCAAATCTTCCTCTTGGAAAAGATGCACACACAACTCAAGAGTAACAAAAGAAAGATACAAAAAACTGTAATCTTCAACCTGCCTTGTAAGGAGATTCCTTAATAACATTGATTGCAAATTTTGGGGACAGCTCTGTACTCAGAGCTAAAGTTCTGATTGCCAAATTCTGGTAGGAAGTTGCCTACGAAAGAATTCTATAGGTGATTCCAGCAGCAGACGTGTCTTCCAAAACATTTTAATCTTGACTTAGAGTATAAATTGTTGGATTATACCTCAGAAACCTGCCAAATTCTGACTCTATAGGTTTAGGAATTGTCCAGCCCCTGAGGGGCCCATCTGACTTGTGCCCTGGTTACTGAGGGGAGTGTTCCCATGTATGTCTGTCCAACGTGAATCTTAATCCCTACTAGCTCGATGAAGTACACTATCTCCTTTCAGAAATAATGTTCTAAAATTCGTCAACCTTAAATACTGATACATGCTATATGGTAGAATTCTTTTTGTGAGTATGCACACTATATAAAAATAGGTGAACATGCAAAGAAAGCACACTCATGTTTCAGAGGTATTTGTTGCAGGATATTAAAAGAAAAATATGGGAAAATTCTAGTTAGTCACCATGGTGAAAATATTTTTAGGAAGAAAGAGAAAACATATTTTAATTCAAAAATGGAAGAAGAAATCTAAACTAATAATAGTTAATATAGATAATTTTAAAGATGTTTATGTAATTTACAAAATTGACATATGTGCATGGGAATCCTGACTCGACACACTTGAAATCCAAACACTGGCTCTTTAAAGAAATGAACATGGTTACAACATAATCCAGTAGCATCTACAGAAACATCGCCTTGGACTTGAACATCTGTTTCTCATGGAGGGGCTGTGTTAGCACTTGATCTATGAGGGATTAAGAACTACTCCTATAGTAGTTTGTAATATGACAAAGTGTGGAGAACTGAGACTGCTACTACGACTTAACTTAAAGTTATCCTTCAAATAAAGAGATTTCAACTTCTCTTGTCGGTCAAAGGGTGCAGACCTTCAGTTATCAGATGAATAAGTTCTGGAGATCTAATGTACAGCATACGGCTATAGTTAATTACACTGCATTGTATACTTGAATTTCACTGAGAGTAGATCTTTATTGTTCTCATTACACAGACACAAATGATAACTATGTGAGGTAAGGAATGTGTTAGTTAACCTGATTGTGGTAATCATTTCACAAAGGATATGTATATCAAATCATCATGTTAGACATCTTAAATATAAACAATTTTATTTGTCAATTTTACCTCAATAAAGCTGAAAAGAAAAAAAGAAGAAGGTGATAAGTCTGTTCTCAGGAGGTAGTAGTGATGTTCACTAATGACCAAGATATGTGTTTTGCCAGATATTCCTGTTTTACCAAAAACCGTCCAATTCATTCATTAAGACACAATATATTGTGGTTTATATTTCCATGTGTGTTTAGTAATTAACAATGGAACTTATTTGAATGTGGAAAATAACTTTGGTTAACCATTAAGCTAGAAGATTAGGTAGGAATTACATGTAGGCATTAAAGGCGATTATTTATAAGTATGCTTATTAATCTAGAAAAATGATTAAGGATTAAAGCAATTTAAAGACAATTTCTATACTATGACCATTTTTGTTTAGTTTTATAAGTTTGAAAGGATCATAATGAAATATTAACAGTAGATTCTCTAGGCATTCATATTACCAGTGATTTTTTTTCTTATCCCTTTATTTTTAAATTTTTTTAAATTAAGATTATGATAGATTACAACCTTGTGAGATTTCAGTTGTACATTATTGTTGGTAATGTTGTGGGTACACCACTTCACCCTTTGTGCCCTCCCCCGACCCCCACTTTTCCCTGGTAACCACTGATTGGTTCTTCATGTCTATATGTTAACTTCCACCTATAAGTGGGGTCATATAGAGTTTGTCTTTCTCTGTCTGGCTTATTTTGCTTAACATAATACCCTCAAGGTCCATCCATGTTGATGCGAATGGAACAATTTGGTCCTTTTTTATGGCTGAGTAGTATTCCATTGTGTACATATACCATATCTTCTTTATCCAGTCGTCAGGTTCTGGGCATTTAGGTTGGTTCCACATCTTGGCTATTGTAAATAATGCTGCAATGAACATAGGGGTGCACGGGATTCTTGGGATTGCTGACTTCAGGTTCTTAGGGTAGATACCCAGTAGTGGGATGGCTGGGTCATAGGGTATTTCAATTTTTAACTTTTTGAGAAATCTCCATACTGTTTTCCATAGTGGCTGCACCAGTTTGCATTCCCACCAACAGTGTATGAGGGTTCCTTTTTCTCCACAACCTCTCCAACATTTGTCACTTTTGGTTTTGGATATTTTTGCCAATCTAACGGGTGTAAGGTGATATCTTAGTGTAGTTTTGATTTGCATTTCCCTGATGATTAGGGATGATGAACATCTTTTCATGTGTCTCTTGGCCATACTCATATCTTCTTTGGAGAAATGTCTGCTCATGTCCTCTGCCCATTTTTTGATCGGGTTGTTTGTTTTTTTGTTGTTAAGCTGTGTGAGTTCTTTGTATATTATGGATATTAATCCTTTGTCAGATAAGAATCCCAAAGGCATTCTTTACAGAAATTGAACAAAGAATCCTAAAATTCATATGGGGCAGCAAAAGACCGCGAACTGCTAAAACAATCCTGAGTAAGAAAAACAAAGCCGGAGGCATCACAATCCCCAATTTCAAAACATACTACAAAGCTACAGTGATCAAAACAGCATGGTACTGGTACAAAAACAGGTCCATAGATCAATGGAACAGAATTGAAAGCCCAGAGATAAAACCTCACATCTATGGACAGCTAATCTTCGACAAAGGAGCTGAGGGCCTACAGTGGAGAAAAGAAAGTCTCTTCAACAAATGGTGTTGGGAAAACTGGACAGCCACACGTAAAAGAATGAAAATCGATCATTCTTTTTCACCATTCACAAAAATAAACTCAAAATGGATCAAAGACTTAAAGATTAGGCCTGAAACAATAAGTCTTCTAGAAGAGAATATAGGCAGTACACTCTTTGACATCAGTTTCAAAAGAATCTTTTTGGACACTATAACTCCTCAGATGAGGGAAACAAAAGAAAGAATAAACAAATGGGACTTCATCAGACTAAAGAGTTTCTTCAAAGCAAGGGAAAACAGGATTGAAACAAAAAAACAGCCCACTAATTGGGAAAAAATATTTACAAGCTTCTTATCCCTTTTTTTAAGGTTCATGTAGTTCATGTGTAACAGAAATATTAAAATATTTAATGGTAGACCTTTTTCTTAAGATAAATATAAAACATGCTTTCACTACAAATTTATAAAACACATGAAAGTGTAAAACTTAAAATTTAATTCCCTTATATTCTTTCAATTCAGTAATAATCAATGGAAATATTTGATTCATTTTATTTTAGCCTTTTTCCTTCTGCTAGACACATACTCACACAAGTCACTTCTCACCATAGATTATGTTGTCAACACATATACAGTTTTGAAAGCAGTTGAATATATAAAAAGCACCAAAAATGCATCTTTTAGAATATCTCTTTTTTTTTTTGTTGAGGAAGATTAGCCTTGAGCTAACTACTGCCAGTCCTCCTCTTTTTGCTGAGGAAGACTGGACCTGAGCTAACATCCGTGCCCATCTTCCTGTACTTTATATGTGGGACACCTACCACAGCATGACTTGCCAAGCAGTGCCATGTCCGCACCTGGGATCCAAACTGGCGAACCCTGGGCCACCGAGAAGCAGAACATACGAAGTTAACTGCCACGCCACTGGGCTGGCCCATGTTTTAGAATATCTTAATGTTTAATGTTTTAAATAGGTATCATCATTAATTAACTTACCCTCAATATTTTCTCTGTTAAATTATCCTGACTAATGATAGTAGATAGAAACCCCTTGCTAACTTCGATCCTGAGACTCTCTGCTCTTTGGTTCCAAAGAGCATTTGGGGGGCGTTTTCCTTGGCACCAGCTTTAACTGCACCAACAACAATAATGATAACTACCGCTTACTGAATTGTGAATAAGTAAAAATGACAGCTCTGATTTATTAAATGTATTGTCTAATTTGACCTTCAAAACCAGCCCTGTAATTTTATTGTCCTCATTCTACACATGTGGGAACCAAGGAGGAGAAGGCTGGAGCAGCTCATCCCCACAAGTAAAACATGGACCAGTATTCAGTCCAGGCGGTCTGGCTTCAGAACCCGGGATGTGAGGCTCTTCTGCATGATTTCTAAGAAGGCTTATTCCATTAATTCTGATTACCTCCATTCTTTGTCCTTGAGATAAATAAAAATGAAAAGGACCAAATGGCTGCAGAGAATGTCTCTGCTAAGTAGTTACAGCCCTGATGTTTAGTCTTCTTTCTGACTTGTGAGATTCTTTGGCTGAGTTTATTTTTCTTTTTGAAAGCCTTTCCTTTGGTTTTAATCAACATATGTGATATAAACAGCAATTTTGATTTATATTTAAGAATAATCCTAAAGAAAACCTACACAATACCTAAAGTGACTCCTATTTCTTTTTTTATTGTAATACATTTGACACGTAACATTGTGTAAAGTTAAGGTGTACAATATGTTGATTTGATACACTTACATATTGTAATATGATTGCCATTGTAGCGATAATTAACACCTCTATCATGTCAAATAATTATCATTTCTTTTTTCTGGCTGTAAACATGTGTAAACCTCTTTTTAGGCAATCCATATCTTTTGTTTGCATAAAAATCCAGTCACAAGTGTGTTCTATCTTAACGCAGAATTCTCAAAAAGAGTTGTAGAATATATTGTTTACGTGAATCAATAATGGATGAACTAGCAGAGGATAAAGGAGAGGTTATCAAGGACTTAAAAATAAGGAGATATAGGCAGAGAGAGTTTGAAAAGGAATTTATTGAGTTTATACTTATTA